AGGAGAGAGGAGAGAGGAGAGAGGAGAGAGGAGAGAGGAGAGAGGAGCCCTGCAGTTCCTCCCAAGGAATGAAGCAAATTAACACTGGTTGGGGACAGAAGGGCAGAAAAGCAGCCGCTCTGCAGCGTTAAGATGGGGCTTGCTTACCTCATGGGAAGTAAAAGGAACTAAGATTCCTATTCCCCCTGATAAGGTGGTATAAACAAGAGATTCGGAGCCTCCCGGGATCAGCGTGGTCTTCTGCAATGAAAGCACTGTCTCTCCCACGTGGTAATTCATAATCACTTCAGCCTGGAAGTCAACCACAGAAGCGAGTGTTTTCTTCAGCTCATAGAAAAGCATCAGGAGGTTTGATAGAGGAGAAGCAGAATTAATTCCGCCACCTGCTAGTTCTGAGACTGCTTTCTGAAGGGGAAGAGCCTTCCACCTGTGACCAGATGGCAGAGCTCAGCACGTGCTCAATAACCCTCTCGAGCTGGACAAGCAGATGCACACAATGAGAGAAAGCAGGAAAAGAAAAGGAGCACGCTGCTTCAATCAGGCCTCACTCAACAGGCATCGCTCGTGGTTTCAGAAGCAGAACTCAGCTCCCAGTGACAACTCATCACCCGCTGCACTGGGAGCAGAACTGCAGAGGATTTCACAGGAAAGCAGCACGTTCTTTTCCCTCAATAACCACGTGCACCCCACGAAAGGTTACCTTCTGTGATGCTCCATTAAGAAGCCCTCTGTCCCAGAGAGCTTTGTTGCCGGTGGGATCCTCATCTACCTCATCATTGGTGTTGGGAGGCAACCTCACCTGTGTTGTAAGAGCAGGAAAAAGTCAAGAGGCTGTGGAGAAGCTGTTAACATGCAGTTCTGAAGAATCTTTTTGGCCATTTCATGCTCACTGTACCATTGATTTGCCTCTCCAACAAGGGCCTCAGTGTTAAACATCTGCGCTGTCAAGACTCAAAAACGCAGACAGGGGCTCATGAGCAGCCTCTGCCTGGGCTCTGCAGGTCAGACTGGCAGGAGGCACAGTCACAGCACTGCTTGGAAGGTGCACATCAGTAATGAAACAGTGGAAGGGTGTGAATTGAGAAAACCACAGAGGACTGATTTGCACACGTTGGCCAGATCCTGCAGGCGTAACGCCTGCCACTGGCTGAACTCTGCCCTCCGAAGCACCCAGCACGCTGCAGAAGAAGATGAAAGTTCTGGCACATCGACCATCCATTCTTTCGTCCTCTGCTGAAAGCCAGCCAAGTGGGAAGAGGCAGCAATGACAAAGCCAGCTTTCATGAGGAAGTGTCAGAGAAAGTCAAATGCCAGCGCTGAGGGTTAGCCAGGGAAAGCAAGAGATAACCTGATGAGGGCTCTCACGGGCCCCTTCAGGGTCAGGAGTTTTGTTTCGAGGCCTTCGAGTCTGGGGACAGCTCTAATGCAAGTTATTGGATGCTTCAGAAATGCAATGGTGTTGAAGTTGTTTACTTCAGCTGAACTGATAAACGGCAGCCATCCACTGTGAGCACAGCGAGTGAATGGTACAGGGCGTTGTCTGGAGCTGAGCACAGATTCTCATTCTTTTTAGACAAATCATGGGTGTTTTAAGGAAAAATACTTCATGTCCAAAAAGTCCCAGCTCCTTCAAGGCACACTCACCACGCAGATGTTGCCAAACTTGTCTGCTCCGGCCACGGTGTCATAATCCAGGAGAGTTGCTGTGGTGACCCAGCGGGGATAAGTGTCATCAGCAAAGATGATGAGCTGATTCTCATTCCTTTTGTAGCGCACCCAGATGAAGCTCTCCTGAACATCTGAAACGATCACTCTGTGCCCGATGGTTTGAATCCCACAGATGTAGTTGGCTATGTG